GATCTAGTAAGACAATCAAATAATAGTCGAAGTTTTAGTTGAAGTATTTGTGTATTTAAAAGTGAAATAAAATTTGATTATTCAGTGTAGTCAATTATTGGTCAACCCACAGGAAAAAACGTAACAATATTAAATGTTCATTCTTCCACATATACCGAAATATCTGTTTCTCTCGATCTCATGTAGGTTGGTGAATTGACCCACTCTTTGATCCCCAAATGCTCAATATTAACATCGTTTGAAAATCTCGTTTCTTCTCGATCTCAATTTTCTATAACTTTTGCCGAGTGAATTTTCTGTTTCTTCAGAGCTAAGGCGTAGTGATTGGTATTTATTAATACTTCGAAACGTGTGTATATTATTACGAAGTACCGAGAAAAAATGTCGAATCTATTCCAATAATAATAGACCTTGGGAAACGATAATGAATGAAGCTCTATGAGAGCTATAGAGTGCTCTATTTTCAATAATGAGTAATAATGAAATCCCTTCAGGTCGATATGCAGATCTTGTACAGTAGTTTATTTCAGATACAAACAGGAGAAAAAAATTCATCGACATCCACCAAACATTCGTAATGAAATTCAAGCAGATATACACAGGAACGCTACACAATGTGACTTATAAAGAAGTTTTGATATAACTAGTCTCCAACTCTTCACCAGCACCTCATCTTCGAAAAACTATTCCCCAATTCATGCAAAAACTTTGTTTTCAATAATAGTGAAAGGAATTTAATTTTTTGACAAGGAACGTTTTTTGGGGGCGAATTTTCGTTTCAAAGAAAATTGAAACAACGAACAATGTCAACATCACTGTTTCGATTTGTATGGAAGTCTTTGAAAGAGATTTCTACTTTGTTGGTCACAAGGATCTCTTGAAACTCATATTTATTTATCATGGTTCTTCGATTGTGGGGCATTTTGTTATCTAGAAAACTGTTATCTGGAAAACTCATTCGAGTCTGTCTAGTGATAAAAAGACTTGAAAACAAATCACATATGACGTTCTTCAGTCTATTTTAACTTCTAGTCTATTCCATTTCTAATAGGAAAAGATAAACATCATTCTCCTCTCTTGATAGAACTTAAATTGAAGAAAAACATAACCTACGGAAGGGTATTGAGTAATCAGAAAATAAATATGATTTTGAAAAGGCCGATTTCAGACTACTATATAAACTTCTAAGAGATTTTGATTGGCCAACACTAGGTCAATGTCAAGACGTGGATGACTGCGTATCATTTTTCATCAAGCATTCTATAAAATTCTAGATATTGCTGTTCCGAAGTTCCCTGTAAAGTTGAAACTCTAAAAAATATATCCACCATGGTTCACGTCAGAAATTAAAGCCGATCTGAGAATCAAAGAATATTTTAGATAGAAAAAACATTCGTCAGATTTATATTTGAATAATTTCAAAAGAGTGAGAGCCGAATTGAAAATAAAAACAAAAAAAAGCTAATAAAAAGTTTCTTGAAAATATACAAAATTGAAAGAAAACGAAAACTTGTGAATATGAATTCATCATCAATAACCATAAAGTAAGTGACAAGAAAATAACCTGCGGATTATTTTTGTTCTGTCTATGAAAACAATTCTACATCCAATTTGAATGATATACAATATTTCGTTACATAACTTAGAGCAAGCTTTTCGCAAATTGAAATCAAAAAGATCATCCAGACCAGATAATATATCGTGTTATATATTCAAGGCTTGTAAAGACTCCCTGACATATCCATTATCAGTAATATTTAATAGATCTTTGAAGAATATGAATTTCCAGAAAAATTTAGGGAGACTAGGGTCACCCCTATCTATAAAAATGGAGAAAAAACAAAATTAACAACATTATATAGGTATATTCTTATTTTCAGAGTTATATTTCAGGTCACCAGCATGGTTCCACAAAAAAAAATCTGTGGAAACAAATTTGTTGACTTTCACGACAGAAGTATCTGAAAATATGGAGAAAAAACTCAGGTACACTCTGTCTTTACTGATTTTGCAAAAGCATTCGATAAGGTTGACCATGATACATTAATAGCAAAGTTGAAACACTACGGACTCAATAATCATCTGATAACTTTTTATGTCTCGCATATTTTGGCACGATCGGGATTACTCTAAGAGTCCAACCTAGGCCCATTACTCTTTTTAATTTTCATAAATGACTTACTGAAAAAAGTATCATCGAACTGTTTGCTATATGCTGATGATTTCAAAATGTTTAAAAATATCACAGACATAAGTAACTATCTTGAACTCCAAAACAATATAGATAGATTAACTAATTGGCCCAAAGATAATAAATTACCTCTTGATATTTCTAAATGTAGAGTAATGACGTTCGGTAGGAGTATGACTCCACATCACTTTGCTTATATAACGCAGAATACAGTTTCAGAAAGGCTTCAAGAAATACGTGACCTTGGGGTCCTCTTCCAAAGTGACCTGAAATTCAACGGACATATTCAAAATATCAATAATGAAGCTGATAGACGACTAGCTTTTATATTTTAGAAACAATACGAAACAAATTTCTGAAATATTTGAATTTCAAAAAATACGGCAGTACTCCAGGTTTTATGTCGTATGGACCAATCAGAGATGAATTCCACATAGAATTAGTAGAAAATAGAAGGATTATACAGAATATACTTTTCTTAGGGAAAATTTTGAATGGCCATGTAGATAGCATTTTCATCACCAATCAAATCTGCTTCTATGCTCCGCCGCCAGGTATTCATCCGAGACCAATTACTTTTCATGTGAATCAACATAAATCCCCTATTGACAGAATTTGTTCAATGTATAATAAACACACAAAGATCTTTAGGTTTGGCATCTTTGATATCATATGCAAAACTTAAATCTAACCTGAGGGAGGTTATCAATTCCTGATTCTGCTGACGAGGGTATTTACATTATTTTCAGTATTAGTCCAATTATTGTAATTTGATATTCCTATTTTTCCTTTGTCTGTAAAATATTTTTATTATTTTTATAATCAAAAATTGTATTTGGAGATATTAAGGCTCTGCCTGTTTGTTTCGGAATGAGCAAATAAATATCCAGTTTAGTCTAGTTTATTTCAACTTCAATATATTTGATATCACTGAATGACAGGCTGCAGCTTGAACCATCGACTCACACATCGGCCGATTTGACTGAGTGAACAAAGAACCCACGTCGAACCGCTTGGCTACCGATCGAATACTTTAATTGTTTTATTATATATGCGATTTTTCATCATCCACGTATATTAGTTCGAAACCACGAGTACTAGATCCTCTTTTAATGTGTTCGTAAGTAGTTAATATATTTCAATCAATAACAACACCGTATATTTATAATTGTCTATATCAAATCGGCATCACAAATGGATACGTCTAATATGAATATAATTACATGTCATACTTTCTTATAGTAATTTCACGCCTTTATATAATTACATTTTTTCTGCTGGGCTGATATTAACTCTTAGAACCCCATAGAAATTATCGATCAAATAGAAATTGTCTCTTCCATAGTAGGAATAATGGTAGCTACCAATTTGGCATAAAAGTATCACCAATTATGAATACCACTTTTTGCGTGACACATCATTCTTTATTATAAGATATATGCTTCGAAAGACAACACACGATAACAAGTTTGCAAGCACAGATTTGATTTCAGCTACCTTTTTGTCCAAGGAAGTAAAGATATTGTACATTATTCAGTGGTTTACATCAAAGGAAAAAAGGGGGCCTTTGTTATTCAGAATGTATACGAATATTTCTATTTGAGAAAGAAGGTTAAATCATCAGCTTCGCCGATGATACTGTGGTAATCTATAAAGACACAAATTGGTACAATTTGAAAATTAAAATTGAAAGGAATTTTGCCAAAATTAAAATATTGTTGGACTACAGACTATTATCGGTAAATTAAAAAAAACTGTTAACTTGCCATTCTATAGCCTTGGGACAGCTCTTACAAACTATGATATAACCATACAAAATTTATTCGCAATAAGACCAGAAAATGAAATTAAATATTTGGGAATAATGTTGGATCGTTCATTCAGATGGAAAACTCGTGTGGACTACTTAACAGAAAAATTGAGGTGTATTTTACATATGTTCAAAAAATTCTCAAATAAAAAAAAGAGTAATAGTCTATTACAGTTTTGTATAATCACATCTGAGCTACGGAATCATAGGTTGGGGAGGTGTTTCAAGAGCACACTATAATGCAATACAGGCCTCGCAAAATAAAATTTTGAAATCAATACTGAACAAAAACAATAGGTAGGTATCCCACCGATAAACTTTTTGTCGAGGCGAGAGTATTAGATATTCGACAGATATAGTATATGTAAATCAATATAAGACAACGCTCAAATAGAGGAGGACAACGTCGTACACATGTCTATAAAACCAGAAATAAACAAAAGTATGTTACACCAATTATGAACACAGAACACAGAAGTTATTTGTACTTAGGGACTAAATTATACAACACCTTGCCAGATTTAGTAAAAAATTAAAATACACTCAGAAGGTTTAAGACTGAAGTTGAAAGTTATGTAATGAGCAGGCCAAGATGGGAAATTCATGAATTAATTTACATTCCTTGATTGAAAATTAACTGATTACGTACATTGAATCATTATTTATAACCTCTACTGAAATTTTCCAACAGGTTTGTTAGATAAGTTTAGATATAAGTATTGATTGAGATTTTATATATTTCAACTATTGATTTTATTTTATTCTTTAATTGCCTCACCACGTACAAAGTATCGCCCAGATAGTTTATGTGGTTTTATGTGTTTTCTATTTTAACTTGTACCTTAACCATATGTATGCCAATAAACATTAATTGATTTATTCATCTATTGAAAATAAATTGTTGGGTTATACTCAACGTACGCATATTGCAAAAGTAAACCATTTTGTTTTTTCTAGATTTGTAATCAATTCAAATTAATTTAAAAAAATGTGTTTCAGCGAAACTATGGCAAGATGGCTGTGCTTGCCGAAAAACAAGAGCACCGAAAATCGGAGATATTTCCAGGTGAGTAATCTCAATTTGGCAGCATATTTCATTGGTATTTTTGAAATTCAAATCTCATATTCGAAATTAGGAACAGTAAAAAGTTTATTATATTTTTCAATGTGGAGTAACCCCAAGATTTTATGAAGTTTGAGAGATAGAGATGCAAAAAAAAAGGTTCCAAAAGACGCCAAGGAATGGAATATAGAGAAAACTTAGGAAAACCATTGGCTACTTCATGAAGAGAGTTTGAAATTTATTCTAAGGTTTTGTGGATTATGCCATCAACCTGTCTTGTTTCATGTGAAACCTTGCAGGAATAGTTCGCCAGACCTTGCTGAATTTTCAGAGGGCCATTTGTATGATTTTTATAGTCGTGAACTAAAATGAGTTCCAGCCTCAGCCTTTATTGTTTCGGGATTTGGCAACCCTAGTATTGCAATCTGGCAACTGAGAGCTCTTATCATAAAGTTGGACATTTTTGAGCTTATACGTATTCAGAACGTTTTGACACGCGCTACTTGTGTTGTTTACAGTAACTTAAAAAATTCATCTCGGCCCAAAAATGGAATTGAATCGTGAACATTTTCTTTTGATTATTTTTCACAACTTTCGACGTGGCTTAACTCAGCAACAGTGCATAAATGAATTTAATTCAATTTTTCGCGATGAAGCTCCATCAAAGACCAGTGTTTATCGACGGTATGGTGAATTCAATCGTGGTCGTAGTTTACTCCAAAACGAATTTCGTGAAGGTCGTCCAAAATCAGTTATTATTTTGAAAATCATTGATGCTGTGCGTGAACTGATATTGCAAGATCGTCATGTGACCTATCGTGAGATTTAGACAACTTTAGGCATTAGTAGGCCTAAAGGCCTACTAACGCCTAATATTGCATAACATTTGACATTGGATCCCACACAATTTGCCAATCGCTCAAAAAAAAGGCTCGTGTCGATTGGTTGAAGGAAATGCTCAAAAAATACAATCGCGGTGCTTCGAAACACGTCTATAACATGAGACAGGTGATGAATCGTTTACGCGTATAAGCCCGAAAATAAACAGCAGTCGACTGCTGCACTTCCAAGCAAATGGTCGCCTGTTCTTTCGGGAAAACTGGACATGTCGCAACTGTACCATTAGAACAACACAGAACAGTCAATTCTGAGTGGTACACAACCATTTGTTTGCCAGTTGTCTTCCAAGAAATCAGGAAAACCAACCGCTGAAGACGGATCACTCTTCACCACGACAATGCGAGTTCTTACACATCTGCTCAAACAACTGCATTTTTGAGCACCCAAAACATCGCTGGGCACCGAATGACTTTTTTTATTTCTGCACGTAAAAACCTAACTGAGAGGTCAACGCTTTTCGACACCTGAAAAAGCGGTTGCTGCATTCAGAACGCATGTTTTGGAGATACCTCAATCAGAGTGGCAAAAGTGCTTCGACAATTGGTTCAAACGCATGCAAAAGTGTATAGGTCTTCATGGGGAATATTTTGAAAAACAGTAAAGTGATTTTCGATGATTAATATTTGTTTTTGTTCTCTAATCTCGAAATATAAAAGGCAACCCTCTATCGTCAGTTGTTGGTGATGCAAAATAGAATCCAAGTGAGGAAGAGTGGCAATTTATCAAAAGTTATTGTTCTGTTCCAAACACTATACAGAAACGTGGGAGAGGAAACCAGCAAAAAATTTCATTTTCGAAAAAGTGACCTCTGTTTGCGAATGTGATGAATTTCTGTACGGCTCCTGATGAAACTAGATTTTTTTATTAGAAAAAGTCCTTCGATTCATCATGCCGTATAAATCCATGGCTTCATGGGAGGTTGGATGATTAGATTCCAAAACACCGATAGAAATTTCTCCAAACTAATCTTCATTTGAAATATTTAAATTTGAAAAGAGCCTACAACCTGAACTTGATTTGACCTTGAATTCGCATAACTTTTTCAAAATGCTGGCGTCATTTGTGTTTTTTTTATGAACATTCAAGAATATTCGACTGAAACCATAATTTATTATCAATAATAATACAATAATAACAATAACAATATCAATGGTGTACTTGTGATGCACTGTTTGGAACCTTTGTTGTAGTAATGAATGTTACTGGAGTTTTAATCCCAACACCAAATCGTTATTTTCAATACCCCGACACGTGTTTCAATTACCAAGTGATTATCTTCAAGTGGAAGATTGAACAGTTCAATTGTGAACGTCAGTCATCTGAAATCACCACGTTGACAATGTCAGAAGACATGTCGATTCCTGCTGTATGTGAATTGTCATCAATATACAATCGCCTCGCGGAAGAGATCGATAGAAGACTGCGAAGTATCCATTACCCATTCTATTCATAATTCACAACAAATTTCCTCCTATTTCCCTTGTCGATCATAAACAAGCATAGGATGTCCTGTTTTCAGGAATATCATACATTTCATATGTACTCGGTTAGAAGTGTATTCGCAATGTTGCGATATTTACTATACTTGGGTAAACGGAATATTTTGAAATGGTTTGAAATCAGTGATGAAAAAGCCGTTTACGTTTCTTATAAGGAATTAATAACAAATAAATTATGAATACATTGATCCGTTACTATTAATAATAATCATTAATAACACTCTCCAGAATTTCCAGACTTCGTTTTATTTACGACGTGTTTACTACACGGTAGCTTAATCAGTTAGAGTGGCACAACAAACTATTCTACAATGTCTTTTATATAACAATGGGTGTTATATCTCACTTTGGAAATATAATTTTTTTAAATATTTATTTTGAAAAGGGAAAACAGTGCTGAATTCCCCTGAGTTACAATTGAACAGGAACAGACTGTGAATACAACTGATACAACTTTAATGCAACTGTAATTATAACTGTAACAGAGTCTGAATGTAAATCATTTCGCCACGCAGGACGTATTTATAGGAAAATAATTTTTTACATATTCTAAAAATGAAATAAAGAAAATAAAGTTTATTCATGTCGTTGTTTTGGAGAACTGCGTATCGCCAGATGTTCATTCAGCATAAGTCAGCATTGATATTGATCTTGTTTATCCCTGTCACCTTGGATATGAATAGAGATGGTCAATAAACAAACATATAACAGGTATTAACAAAACTTAATCAGATCTGTCAAATCTGTTAAAATCTGATAAATATATAGTTTTGGTAAAGCAGATAGGTTTGAAAGAAAAATCACGATACAATATTACTTCTAGGAAACAGGTAATTTATATTTATCGACATTTTATGAAAACAAGTTTGATAAAAGTGAATGAATAACTTCTTGTTTGAAAGAAATTTGCGTTTATTGATTTTCAGAGAATTTAGCGAGTTTCATTTTCGTTCTTCATTTTCTACACGAGGTATGCTCGAAAAATAGGGTAAATGTTCAAAATCGCGTACATTTGATACGCAATTTTTTTATTTGTTTTATGTCGGTGCACTCGTCTGGAATATATTGTTTACAGAGGATAACTACAAAAACACACTTTTGACTATTTTCCACTATATTTCTTTATTGTTGACGGGTTTCGGCTATTACACCATTTTCAAAATAGAAAATTAAGAAGTTATTCATTCACCATTATCAAACTGGTTTTCATAAAATGCCAAAAATTAACATATTTATAAATTACCTGTTTTCCTAGAAGTTATGTATTGTCATTGTTGTTTTACAAATATACCGGTTTTACCAAAATTTTATGGAACTGAGTTGTACAGTACTGTAAAAGACATTGTAGAATTGTTGGATACACTGATGAAGCTACCGTGTAATACGCTTCTTGAATAAAATTCATTGTGAAAATTCTTTAATTATTATCATGGATAACATATAAATGACTATGAGTATACATTTTGTAGAGTTAGACTCACTACGTGTATGAATATATTCTTCCATTTATTTTTGTGAAAGTCACTTCGATATAAGTATTTATTTAAGTTTGAGGTGCATAATTCACTATCTCATTTATGGAATTAAATAATTATTTGATAATATATTAATCAACGTTCGGATTTGTCTTTTATCAAATTAGAGCCTTGATGTTGTTTTTGTATTCACGAACAAAACTTTTATTAGCTGAATAGTTGGTAACCGCCAAATGAGTGAACAAACTACAAACAACTGGTGTTTGTGTCGTTACAAGTTCTTGCAACACGTTGTTGCCAGAAATATTTCCAGATATTACCACCGTATAGAAGTGTTTGCTTTTATACGGTGGTTCAGTTGACTGAAATCATTCAGTTTTGTACATAACAGATAAAGTAATAACGCGAATTAGTGGGTGCGTATCCCTATTTTGTCGAATTAGACATTAGGCATTAGAAGTCGAACGCAAAGTGAGTTTGGAAATTTCAGAACATAGTGGATGTCTATCACATATCTATCACCCAATTCAATTTCACTAAATTCAGGAACAAAATAATCAGAACTCTACATAAATACAAGTTTTATACCTACTCTATCCTTTTGATGAAGTCAAAGAAAGAATCCGGACTGGCTGAAGAACCAAACGTTTCGTCTACTATATGCTGCGTTAGCCAGCATCAGTGGTATGTGTATTGTCTGCGAAGATGAAAGTTTTATCTCAAGTCTCAGTCCTTGTTGAGACTTCGAAATATATCACTCCTCCTCGCAGTCAACGCAAACATCACTGATGATGTATGCCGCAGTAGTAGACGAAACGTTAGGTTCTTCATGTGCCATTCGACCACGGCCTACCAGCCTGGATTTTTTCTTTGATTATGACTTCGGCCATGAAGGCCTATGTTCTTATATTATCAGTGGAAGTTTGTTCATTCATTTAATTCAAAAGTGATAGAATACTTCTGAGAAATTATTTCAGAACTTCCAATACTTTCCTCAGTACGTTCTTCGCGGGGGCAAATATCAGTAAGGTGTGTCCATACTTTTCAGCAATACTCTCGAGGACATACACTTTTCAAATATGTTTGTCTGTAAAACTTCAAGCAGTTAGTTTTTGGTGCAGTAATCATC